GATATCGTCTCACGGGACAGTGTATATGGAAAATCAAGTGTGATATCAATCTACTGATCTAACATGTAAGATAGCCAAGTCAATGTATGTTTGATTCAAGAGAACAACTAAATTGCAATGGAAATAGATCACGATTAAAATAGAAGGGAAGCGGAGGCAAACAAGGAACAACCTATGATCAAGGGTAAAGGGTCAAAATGGGGATACTTGGAAACATCGTGCAACAAAGGGATATGTACAAGTTCCCTTATCACTCTCATGGTCAAGGGGGTACTAAGGACTCCGATTGGCCATTCTCGTGGTCCAATAGCAATCCAAAGTCATGCAAAGAAGGGCAACCAACTATTTCTTCCTCTACTTTCTCCCATTCTCATGGAGTGGAGGTAATGTGTGTGTGAATGTGTCAAAAGGAAAATCTACAAGTCTCCTTAAGGGTCCAAAACATCATCTACGAACATTGTGGTCATCAAAGTCTTGGAAATTCAAATAAGCATTTTCACAAACACATCGTGTGCATAATATATACCTCAAATTCCCCCAAATTAAACCTCAAAACCCAACACATCACATGGTTAGATGTTCCTCAAACACCCCCAATCCTTAATCCAACTACTCACTCATGCTAGATTTCATATTCAATAAAGAGATATAAGACATAGACATGAAGTGAGATAAATGGATGAGATTGTGGAAATATGACAATGATGCAATCTAATGGATTAAATGAAACTAGATTCAAGATTTAATGCAAATAAAATTAAGAAATGAAGTGCAAATGAGTTTAAGGAAGCTTACAACCAAAACTAGGGTTTGCAAGAAGAAAACTCGACCAAAACTATGAAAATCCGAACAAAGGTGTTATTTATACATAGGAGAAAACGGGGGAACGCTGGGCAGAAACGCCTTCCCTTTACGAGGAACGCCGGAGGGACGCTGGAGGGAACGACGTTCCTCCTAGGCGTTCATACCTTTACAAATTAAAGCATGCGACTGGCAGAGAGTTTGACGCTGGGAGGAACGGAGTAGGGAGGTTGTTCTTGAGGGATGGCTGACAGAAACGTGGTTCCCTGCCAGCGTTCCCACACCTGGGACATAAAATTCGAAATCCGGAGGAACAAAATGGGGGAACGCTGGGAGGGACGATGTTCCCTATGGCGTTCCTGACGCTGCCTTCCTCGAAACACCCCCGACATCTTCGTTTCTTGCTTCCTTGTGCTCTGCTTGGTTCTCGGGGTCTTCAAATCATTCATTTATGCTCTCGAGACTCTTCAAAATGCTCAAATTTCATCCCTACAACGCTGAAATCCTTTATGTGGTTCCTACAGCCAAAATTTTGCACAAGTAAAACTAAAATGAGAGAATAATTTTCAAAAGTTAACAAAGTCCACATTTTATGAGAAAGTATTAGGTGTTTTAACACCTATCAACAGCCCCTTTTGTACTACTTCAAGGATAATCAAACATTTAGAAGTAGTACAAACATGATGAGACCTTTTGTACTAGTAGAAACATACTCAGACCTTTTGTACAAGTAGAAGCATACTCAAGCCTTTTGTAATAGTACAAGCATACTCAAACTACCAATGGTCATATTTATTTCATCATTTTGGTACACTACAATCATACTCAGACCTTATGTACAACTACTATTACAACATACACTTCACACACAAAAACTGGAACACATTCTTTATGGTCATCACAATATGAGTAAAGTACCATATCATATACATATGATTATCACAGATTGAGTCAAGTACCATATCACAGGCATATGGTCATCATAGTATGAGTGAAGTACCACATCACATGCATATGGTCATCACAATATGCATAAACTACCATATCACAGGCATATGGTCATCACAGTATGCATAAACTACCAAAACACTCTCATATGGTCATCATAGCATGCATAGACTACCATATCTATATTGCAAGCCTGATGCTTTCATCATAACATACTGATATGCACTAGTTTATATTGCATAAATGTATGTTTTTATATTTATTCTGGGTGGACTGTTTACCGTTATTAGTTAGTTTGTAAGCATTTGTTTTGTTTTGTTTTGTTTTGTTTGTAATTGTTTTTAGCTTCCATTTATAGTTGTAGAATAGTGATAGAGTTTTTGGCAAGGAAAGGAGATAAAGTCAACAGGAATGCTGCCCAGGGAGATCCACCTGACCGGGTAGAAATCTTCACCCGGTCGGGTCTGATTTGAAATCCGAACCTCAGAGGAAAGAGCTGGACCCGGTCGGGTCAATTAATGCACCCGGTCGGATGAGATTTGACCCGAGACATTTTAACGTGCTGAAACACAAGAACGTGGAAGATTATCTGATTTTGACATGCACCCGGTCGGGTACCCGGCCAAAGGTGTTGAAAAACACCTATAAATATCACACTTTTCCTTCACTAATTTCCATCCCTTCTTCCATACCTATAAGCTCAGTTTAGAATAGTTATTTCTTATATTTTTCTAGCATGTTTAGTCTCCAAATGAAGAGCTAAACTCTCATTTCTTGGTTTTGCTCTTGAAGCTTGTTGATTATTAAAGTTGTGAGTTATTTTCTTAAAAAAAAATGGCGCCGTTGCCGGGGAATGAAGAACCAATACATAGACCTCCTACTTTTATCACAGTATGCATAAAGAACAAGTTCACAGAACGGATACTTTCATCACAATATGCATAAAGGACCAGTAGGGATACTTTCATGACAGTATGCATAACTACCATTAATCAGACTAAACAACCATGTACATTCCACATGCATCACATTAAACATCAATAAAACCATTTTTCATCATTGCTTCCCCCAAAAATCACACATAGGACACATAGTACGAATTAAACCATAAACAAAGATATGGTATATAATAAACTCCCCTAATCTGTGTCGACATCCCACATTCTTGTTTCCCATTTAGGTATCATTAGTTTTAGGAACTTTTCCCGCCGAGGACTTCTCCGAATAGGATGCATGTCGGTGTCTCTGCGTCTTTATAGCAGATTAGGCCACCATCTCCGGCACAGGCTCTGCAATATCCAACACCACCACATCGTCACCAAGAAGACCCTCTTCACTGTCAGGGATGATGACATTTTCAATAATCTCCGCCACAACCACTGTCGGTTTCTTGCAAACATCCTCTACAAGACCGTCTTCACTGTCCGGAATTATCAACATGTCATCATCTTCCGGGGAGTTTTGATCCATGCAGGTCGGATGGAGTTCCGATACAGGGCCCGCGATGGAAACTATTAGGGTTTAGATCCAGAAGATTGTGAGAGAGAGAGAGAGAGGGAGGCGGAAGGGTAGATAGATTACAGAGCGGGAGACAATTGGAGTAAATGAGAGAGCGAGACGGATGGAGTAATTGAGAGAGAGAGACCGATGCAGTGACCGAGAAAGAGGGAGGCGGTGGGAGTAAATGGGAGAGAGGGATGAGGATGGGGTAAGTGAGAGAAAGGGGATTGGGAATAATTTAAAAAAGGGGAGGGCAAAAATGGGTTTTGAGTATGGGTTAGTTTCCTTTTTTAGAAAGTTGGAAGAATTTATTGGGACGACCCAAAAAAGGAAAGTTGGAAGAATTTATCGAGATGGAGGGAGTAATACCTAATCAAGAAAAATTAAATTTGATAAAAGTTGAATATATAAAGTAAAAGATTAAGAACAATTCACGTTGACGTGAAAACAGCGAATGAGAAGCTACAAATAGGACATAAGGAGTATTATATTAAAACTAACTCACATTTTATTTCAGACTCTATTGTTATTCAGTTTAATTTTCATTATGGGCCTTTAGGCGTGAAAATCTATATCAGGTTTGGGATAATTAGTTTTCGTCTAGTTAGAAGCAAGCATCAACGTTTTGTTGGAGTTGAAAATTTCTTTAAAAATCTCATATGATTAGTGATTTGCTCTGGTCATAGGGAGATTTCAACAAGTAGGATCTAATCATACTAATTTTCTAAAAATAAGACAACAAATTAGCATAAGACTTAAGTAAACCTCCTTTGACCAAATTGCCCTACTTTTAAATTTCTTAGCAGACCACATCCCCATTCCGTCGCACACCACATCTCCACATCTCCACATCTATAGATTAGCAAGGCATGGATAGAGCGGTGACCTGATACTCGGAAGAGGAGCAATAGTAAGGCTAACAGCAGCGAGAAGTGAATCTCCGTAGGAGCCCCAATAGGAATTTGCAAAACGAAACACTTGCTTTGTAGTTTTGAGGAGTGCTGAAGAATCTGCGGGATCAGATCGCCGGAAAACCAAGGAGGAGGAGGCCATGCGGCAGCGGTTTCCGCCGCGACTTCGGACCAAGGAGCGTGGGATGTGACCAAGTAGGGGTCCGTGGGGTGTCGTACTCTGCAAACCAGATCCAAAACTTTTGAAGAAACCAGATCCAAAATCAATCTTGCAAACTTCTTCTTCTATTTTGATTTTGGACATTAATTTTGTCAATTTCGAACTTCTATTTCATATTTTCACAAGGCCACCATGTGTTCTGCAAAACTTTTGAAGAAACCAGATCCAAAATCAAACGTGCAAACCCTAGACAATACATAGACATTAAGCAGTCCGTAAACAAACAATAAGTTCTAATAATACTCAATAGTAGACAATACATAGACAGTAAGTAGTCATTAAACAGACAATAAATTCTGATAATAGCTCAACAGCAGAGCAGGTCACGTAAAACAGTAAGTGAAGGGTAAAATTGGAAGTTTAAAATCCACTTTTCAAAATAGAACTACATAGCTCTTACGCAAGGAAAAAACGTACGTAAGTACTATTTTTATAAAAGTGCTATGATTGAGTCCTACTGGAAGCAATTTTCTCCTGGTCATATGTACTATGTGAATGAAAGACTTATGATTAAAGCAATTCAAATAAAAAATGAAAATGAAAATATCCCGACAAACAAAACAACCAAGTTCTTTACATAGTTTAAGAAGAATCGGCCCAAAAAGTTTAAGCAGGCCTTAATACCAGAAAGATCAAAAAACAAAAAGGCCGAAGAAACTGAATAACAAGCGCCGCTCCCCAATAGATTTCTGCCTCAGCCTATCCAGTATTGGAGCTTCTTTCCCGTCGCCTCCATCTTCCCCACCCATCATCCCCGGAACCAGAAGCAGAAAAATTCACCGCCGAGATAAAGCTCCACCACAAAGACCGATTTTTTCTTCTTCTAACAGCTGACACCACTGAAGTCTGTTTATATCCCGGCCGTATCCCCGGACGCCACTAGTCCAAGTGTGCCTGTTTCCTACACGATATATATCGCAATTCGCAAGGTTTGGTCTATCATGCTCCATAGTTATTTTAGCTGTAGTTAGCAGTTAATGGGTTTTGGGTTATTTAGGGCATCGTAATAGTATTTTGATGCATATCAGTAAGCCTAGTTTATCCACTAATGAAACCCATTGTGTTAATCAGATGTTACATTCTTCAACTCTAATCCGTTTTCCCATGGTGAATATGCAGCTGTGTTGCATCTGTATTTATGAAATGAATTGAATTTGGGTAGACTTTTGCAGTTCCTTGCCAAATTTATCTATTCACGTTGTACATCTTGTTTATTCTTGTCTGACTATCTAATATGTAGTACTTGCTCTGGTAGATTATATAGACATGTCAGTACAATTGACGCCCTCCAAGAGACCGTATGATCAAAGCCTTACTGAGACTAATGAAAGAGGAAAGTTGCAAAAATCAGCTGGGTTGGGTCCTGAGAAGTCCCTATCGAAGACATCTTCCTCAAACAAGATTATTCGTCTCCTCTGTCTTAATTCAAGAATTAGATCTATCATAGGAGAAGACGGAGCGACCCTTCCTGAAATTTGTCAGGAAACTGGTGCAAATATCCAAGTTGAAGAAGCTGTGCCTGGTTGCGACGAAAGAGTGGTTGTTATTTTAGGTTCGAATAATAAGAATGAAACAGGATCTGAGCATCCCAAGACCAGCATTGAGGAAACTGATACAAAGGACAGTAACAATGAGATAAATGATAATGGAAGCAATGGTCTGAATGAAAAATCTGATCAAGTTGATGATCCTAAGTTGATAAAAGAAGTTTCATGTGTTCTTGAAGCTTTATTAGTCTTATTTGAAAAAATGACTAAAGAAGATTTGGAGAAGGCTATGGGAGATGAAGGGAATGATTCTCAGTCTTTAAGTGTAAGGTTTTTAATATACAGCAGCCAAGTGAACTGCTTGTTAGGGAAAAGTGGTAGTGTATTGAAACAGATGTCTTCTGAGAGTGGAGCTGAGATATGCATTCTTGCAAGGGACAAATTGCCTGCTTGTGCTTCTTCATCTGATGATCTTGTTCAGGTTACATTTTAATAAGGTTACATTCACATATGAGCTGTAGCCCATGAGCAGTTCCTAATACGACCTCCACCCGAACAAAGAAGTTAATTTTTTAATGAAGGTTTTTTTTTTTGTATGGGTATGGTGCATAATGTGGGTTACGTACACTCTTTTTAGGTTCTTTTTATCTTTGTCTTATCTTTTTTATATCTTTTTTATCTCTTTATCTTTCCTTTTATCTTATCTTATTCCCTCTTTTTTTTTTAACTTTGTTAACTTTTTAGCTCCAATTTCATATTTCCATTCATGTTAGCCGACCCCGACCCCAAACTCTTCTAGGATCAAGGCTTGGATGTTGTAACTTCTTAGGTTCTTTTTTTTTTTTTGAAATAATGCATGGAAATTAGTTTTTGAAACTGAAATCTCTTTTTGAGTGGAAGTAGAAATATTAAACAACACATTAGCCATGTTTTTTTAATCCTGGGGATTTTATGGTTGTCGTTCACATATAACTTCAGGAAGATATATTAACAGCATTATTGAAATATTTTAGTGTTTGGTTTCTGATGAAGCACAGTCAGAATTTTCTGAAATAATCTTTGCAATCTTCACAGTATGTTAATTGACCCAAACTCTTTTGGAATAAGGCTTGGTTGTTGTAATCATTGCATTGTGCTAAGCAGATAATTTTTTATAATGAATTATTTGAACATGTCTATGAATTATACTTGAGATTTCTTAAATAAACTTTTGTACAGTCTTTATATAAGAAACCTTTATAAAAAGTGCTCCATTTAAATGGTATTGATTTGCATTTCCTGAAATGTACCGGCCAACATTGAGCTAAAAATTGTGTGTTACATTTACTTCAATGTTGAATTGCTTCGATGTGTTGTCATCAATGATCATGTTGGCTGGTTCCTACATGGCTACATGGGTCTATCAATGCACGTGAAGATTATTCACTTTTATGGGCATCAATTGATGATAGACATTCTCCGGTAACAGTAAGATGTGTAAAATATATGAGTCTATGCCTTATGTAACTGCTATTCAAGTATTTATTGCAGGTTTCTGGCCTATATAGTGCTGTTAAGAAAGCCATCAAGTCTGTTGGTCAACATCTTCTTGTGAGCAATCCTCAGGATCAAGATCCTTTGTCAGCCAGTCAATGTGGACCCTCTTCTAATCCGAATGGCCACCGCTTTTCCAGTCAGGATTCAGACCCTCGATCAAATTATCCTTTTCATGGACAAAAGCCACCTTATCCTGATGGTGAAGCTGGATTTCCTGGGCTACCAAATCCTTCTCAGGATGCATTAACTTTCCGCTTACTCTGTCCTGTTGAAAAGGTGGGAGGAATAATTGGAAAAGGAGGGAGCATAATCAAGACAATCCAACATGAGACTGGCTGTGAGATCCAAATTCTAGAAGGTGTGGCGAATTCAGAAGATCGCATTATTGCCGTATCTGGTCCAGCGGTATGATTGATTTAAAACCGCTGCTCTCTTTTCTTTTCTTTTCACAATAACAGCCTTTTTTGTGAGTGACATGATTAGTGTCTTTTATGATCTAGTTTAAGATTAGATAATTGTAATAAAACAAAGATTCAGCATAAAGCAATAAACCTTTTTTGGTGGGCAAGAAGTGTAGTTGAAATATGGAAAAGAAAAGAAATGGAGAAAAAGTGGAGTGTTTACTTCGTTATGAGAAAATAAATGGAAATGGTGGATCACTACTTTCATTTCATCTCTCATATTCAGAGAAATAGGAGACGGATGAATCTGCTTAATCCTAACCATTTCTCGAACAACACAGAGAATCTTCTTATTTCTCTACTTTCTCTATTTTCATCTCTTTCTTAACCATATCTGTCTTTTATATTTCTTTCTAATACTAAACAAAGAAGCTTATTAGCAGTTGCAATGTGATGTCTACCTATGATGCTTTTGGACCTTTGCCTTCATTTTTATCTTTTGTTGCCGAGCAGGCTAAATCTACCTCCTGGTTTCCCCATAGTTGTATTTCAAAACTGTATTAGCCATCAAGCCATGTACATAAAAATGAACATTGACATTTGCTTTACTTCATTCCTGCAGCATCCACGTGATAGGGTAACTCCCCCTCAAGATGCATTACTTCATGTACAGGCCAGAATTTGTAGGGCTTTACCTGAAAGTAAGGACAGCACGATGCTTGCAAGACTTCTTGTCTCCTCCAATCAAATTGGATGTCTTCTGGGAAAAGGTGGTTCTATTATTGCTGAAATGAGGAAGTCCACAGGTGCTTATATTCGGATTCTCGGGAAGGATCAAACCCCAAATTGTGCTTCTGAGAATGAAGAAGTAGTTCAGGTGACTAGATATGGAGATGTGTTTATACATTGGTATCCTCTGCTTGAGAGTGTTGCAAGTGTAGTTAACACAAGCACTAATTAAGTGTGAATTCACTTGGTTTCTCTTTAATGTTATTATGCTGCTTCATACCTGATCTGGCATGGTGGAGAAATACTTGAAATTTCAACCTTTTTGCAGGTAAATGGGGAATTTGAAAAAGTTCAAGAAGCCCTTTTTCAGATAACATCAAGATTACAGGAGCATTTCTTTCGCAATGCATTTCCTTCTATGAACCAAATGCCAAGTGCTCACTTTATGGATCAAATGCCTCCTTTCCCTTCATACAGGGGAAGGAGAGAACTTTCTCCCGGGAGAATGTTTCCTACTATGGGCCCACCATTGTTTCACCGGTTTGATGCTGTTGGAGGCATACCTCCACGTGCCAGCTTCCATCCACATGATGAACATCCTCCTTTTTTGCCTAATAATTTTCACAGGTCAGGTGTCCGACCTCCTGCTTCAGAAAGGATGCTTTCTTCTGGACCTTGGGTTCCACAGGTATCGATAACTTTCAATAATCATTAGATTAGAATGAACATCTTGACATTTTAATGGGTTATATTTACACTTTTATTATTATGTTGAGTACCTAATGGTGCAAGGCAGCGAATTTGAACATGCTTATTAATATACTCCCTCCGTCCCTTAAAATTCTTCCCACTTACCTTTTTGGGATGTCCTAAAAAATTCTTCCCATTTCCCTTTTCGGAAAGTTTTGTATGGCCAACATTCATTAACCTTTTTCTTACTCAACCACAACCACACATTTCATCTTTATTCCCACTTTCTTAAACTCCGATCCAAGTCAAAACGGGAAGAATAAAGGGACGGAGGGAGTATTCATCATCATCATCATCATCATCATCATTTAAAGCTCTGAACTGGAACACAGGGACCAATTGATGGAGGTGGTCCACTAGGCATGCCTGACTTTGCAGCAGGCCCTCAGAGAAGAATTGGTGGATTTGGAGGGTACGTGCTCCTTCATATGTTTCACCATTATGACAACTATTCAGTTTATTTAATCAGTTCTGATTCTATTTATTGTGAGAGTAACATTAAATCTTTTACAAATTCAGCGGAAGTCCAGCTATAATCACTAATACCAAGGTGGAAGTAGTAGTTCCTCGTTCTGCTGTTCCCGAAATCTATGGAGACGGTGGGGGGTCTCTCAGACAAATATGTGAGGTGCATTCCATCATCTGAACACACATTCTGAATTGGATTTAGTATAATTTCATACATGGGGGTTGACAGCCTTATTGACATTGTTCTTTGCTAGATTTCTGAGGCAAAAGTTAGCATTAATGATCCCAAGCCTGGAGCAACAGAGGCTATGATTATTATATCTGGAACACCTGAGCAAGCAAATGCTGCACAGTCTCTTATTCAAGCATTTGTGATGCTCGAGTCTGAAGCATCATGATGATTTGATTATTATCATTTACGTAATATCTTAGCGACCTCATGTTTATAATTTTAATATTCTTTGTTATGCTTAGTAATACCTAATTCTGTGTGATGATATAGTCTAACACAGTGACGGGCTTGTCCTAGCAGCGGAATGTGGAAGTTTCTGTGGTAATTACCTCAAAGCTTGAAAGAAGCTGAGATGCGTTTTAAAACCTTTCCGACTTCAATGAACTTTCTGGAAGCAGCAGGAGGGTGTATAATCCGTCAGTAGCTTGTTTTAAATTTTTATGAATTCTATCTAGCTTCAATATATATATATGTATGTATTCTAGCTCTAAATTTTTAATGAGCCAAAGATTACTGTCAAATCTGTTTGAGAATTTTTTGCTTGACAACTGATCTTGACGGTGCATGCCTATGCCTACAAAGCACAATGTATTTTTTACAGGAATAGTGAGACATCTAAAGTAATGACGAAAAGATAACTAAAAGGTAATAATAAATACAAGTAAACGAGTAAAGGGTCTGGTACTCGAAGTTGCATAAAAAGAGTCAAATAAGTTCTTATATTGGAGGCTCTGTCTGGCCGTCGCCATTTGGGATGGTTTCTGGTGGAATTTTTTGACCATTTTTTTGAGCATCTTATTCATTAAGTTTAGTTTACTCATACCAAATTTCAGCTAAAATTTTAATCGGGAAGGCATTCAAATGAATTCTTGAAGATAACTGCACAATTAAAAGCACAATTATCTTCAAGAATTCATTTGAATGTCTTCCCGATTGAAGTTTTAGCTGAAATTTGGTATGAGTAAACTAGACTTAATGAATAAGATGCTAAAAAAATTTCATCAAAAAATTCCACCGGGAACTGCCCCAAATGGTGATGGCCGGACAGTAAGGACTTATTTGTCCCTTTTTGTGCAACTTCGAGTACCAAACTGACCCTTTACTCATAAATAAACCCCATTGTACACAAGATTTATTTTTGGGAGTGGTGTGATTGGTTATAATTAAAGATTCATCTATATCACCCAGTGTCTGGATCCTTTCAATAAAGAAGAAAACAAACACATACCTTAATGGCCCAGTGCCTTGATCCTTAACAACAGAAAAAATAAAACATAAAGATTCACCTAAATAGCCCATGTCGTGATCCATTTCAATGGGACTACTGGTTTCTAGTTGGCGTTCTGTTGTGCAATCTTTACAAAATGGACACCTTTGAAGTTGAGAAGATTTGTTTTAAACCATTGGAATCGGGATCCGGCTGGTCTGTAATCAGTACACAATGGAACTTGGCCTGGTGACCTGGTCTATTGCTCATCTGCACATGTAACCTTCAATGCAAGTGTTATGTATGGGATTGTATTTTCCGATCTTATAAATGCTAATGACATCGCAAGTGGCAATTATTCCTTCCACAGCCTAACTGTCTCGGGGAAACTGTCTACTTGTTTCCATGTTCCTAAATCCTAACAAATTAATTTTTGTTCAAAAACTGTATGGATGATGATGAATTGATGACCTTTAATCCTCGAAAAAATTCTATATGTGCCATGGCCACCTGGATGCGGTTTTCAACTCATCCCTGACTTGGCTCGGCATTGACTAGTCCTTAACCCCTCCAATTGCTATATTTATTAGTGCTGTTCTGAGTCCATGTCTTGATAATCCATTCCAACTAGTACATTTGCATGTTAGGCAACTAGGGATGGACCCGGGCCGGGCCGGTTCCGGTTCCGGGCCGGGCCCGGGCGGGCTTTTTTTGGGGATTGTTGGGCCCGGAACCGGCCCGGGGTGATACCGGGTCCGGTTCGTGCCGGGTCGACCCGGTCGGGTCCGGGCCGGGCCGGGCCGGGCCGGGCCGGGCCCGGGCTTTAAATTTTTTTTTTTTTTTAGATACCATAATTAAATTAATATTACTTGGACATAAAAAAGGGTAAAACATATTTATTTGATATTTGTAGTACAATTGAAAATTGAGCAAAAATAAAAACATGAAATACACTTTATAATAAGTAATGAAGTATGAATCAATTAGAATTTCCTCCATCTTCAGTTGTTTCTTCCATAAAGTGGCGAGTGGGTTCAATGCTTATTTCTTGAGTTCTACGTTTGGCCTTCAACCAATCGTGGAAGCAAACAAGCGTCTCAAGAGAGTTTGCGCTTAATCTCGTTCTATAATCCGTTAGGACGTTGCCGGCCGCACTAAACTCTTGTTCCACAGCAACTGTTGATACCGGCATTGCTAGCACTTGCTTAGCCATCTTTGATAAGATCGGGAACGTTCTCTCTTTTTCCTTCCACCACTGAAGAACGTCAAAGTCATCCCCTTCTTCATAATCAACAGGAAATGTTAGATACAAAGAAAGCTCGTTGATCGAGCTTTGTTCATTAACCGGAGTTGATTTACTTTTTTTCATAAGATTGCCAAATGCAGATTTGAAAATTGATTTTCCTTTAGATGAAGAAGATGTTCGTGGCGGGGGAGGGGGTGCGTTACCATATTGTGCATGAAACTCATTAAATAATTGATATAATAAATTACTAACCTCTTGGAATTGTTGTTTAGGGTCTATGGCCTTGTCGTCGTACATAGGCAATGGACCAAAAAAAGAAGCATAATAGTAATCTAAACATTTTTCCAAAGAAGCAAGTCTAAAACGAGGATCAAGAATAAATGCAATACCATATATATGCGGAATATAGGAATAATATTTTAAAAACTTTTGTTTCATGAAGTCACAAAAATAACTAACGTAAGCGGCGTCAGAGAATTCAGAAAAAGCGCCGGCGAGATTAACAGCTTCAACAAAAAATTGGTTTGCGGTAGGTTTATAAACATGACTAAAAGTTTCAGTGGCATTATTAAAAAACACCAAAACATTCACAATTTTTTCACAAGTGTCGATATCGGCCGGGTTTATAATATAGTTAGCATATTCTCTTAAAAAAGCGGGAAAATGGTTTTTATATCTAATAAGCACTTTAATTAAATTATAAGTACTATTCCAACGAATAGACAAATCTTTAGGAAAAGCACAATATTTGACACGTCTTTCTTTCAAATAATTTCTCCATTGCATCTTAAGTGGATTACTAGCCCAAATCAGTTTAATCCCCCCCTTGACCACCTCCAAAGCATCTCCCAACGCCGCAAGACCGTCCTTTACACATAAATTTAAAATATGACATGCACAACGCTGATGAAAAAACCTACCCATCAAAGAAGATGAACCACACAATTCACGCAATCTAGGAATAGCCGCAGTATTATTAGTAGCATTATCAAAACCAATAGCAAACACCTTATCAATCAAATTATACTCAACTAAAATACGCTCAATGAGAATATAAATATTATCGCCGGTGTGTCGATCATTAAATTCACGAAAAGCAAGAACACGTTTATGCATACACCAATCATCATCAATATAATGTGCAGTCAAACCCAAATAATATAAATGATGATGAGTATCCTCCCATATATCACTACATATGCTAACACGGCCATCAAAGTTTGCGAAAAATATTTGTAATTTTTCCTTTTCCAAAACATATTGCCTTATAACTTCTTTTTTAATTGTTTTGCGACTATAGTTTCGAAATTGAGGATTTAAAGTACCTTGAGCATATTCTTTTAAAGCAAGACTTTCGGAAAAAATAAAAGGCAAATTTTCTTCAACAATCAAATGCGACATACCAGTCAAATGTCTTTGATCATCATAGGAGAAATTACCGAAGGGTTGGCCACTTCCAAATCTTGAAATTTGTGTTTGCTTTCCCTTGCCTTTGTCTGATTTCGCATATTCCGCCGGGTGCTTGGCCTTAAGATGCCTTGTGGCGCTCCCGTACCCTCCAGAAGTTCCCAAGTTATACTTCTTTGGGCAATGCTTGCAAGTGGCGTACCATATCTCGGTTTGGGGGTCTTTAAATTTTGTAAAATTTGCCTTAAAGACTGATTCAGCTTTCTCACCGCCTTGGGAAGAAGTAGCCACTTCCGCTTGCTCTTCATCATCGTACGGTGTGCCATGAACCTCGTGCTCGACCGTTTGCGGATCCCTCTCCTCCGCATCATCATCCTCGAGCTCTTCTTCGTCAATGGTCGGGATGTTTTGTTGATGGAAGAAGGCCCCTTGATTTTGTCGTAATAGTTGTTCTACTTGCTCATCGGACATCGCAGACCCATATCTTTGGTTATAATCCGCATCAAAATCATCTCGGGTTTGAGATGAAGCCTCGGCCCGTCCCTTACCTTTGTGCAAGCTTGGATGATTCCTCGCAATCTCCTTTGTTCGGTTGCGGCGGAGGTTACCCATATCTACTGAAGCTCTACCACGTTCCATCTTAAAAATATAACAAATATTAAATTCGAAGTACAATTAAACTAGTGAATTTCAAATACAAATCTAACAAATCGAACTACAATGTAACAATTAAATTCGAACAATTAAATATAATATAATATAGGAGAATAATAAATGTAACAACTATAATATAATTAACTAGTTATAATCGAACTATAATGTAACAACTATAATATAATTAACAATTAACTAGTTTGATAGGAGAATAATAAATGTAACAATTAACTAGTATTAGAGGAGATTAAGAAATGTAACAATTAACTAGTTTAACAAGTAAACAATTAATTTCGAATTCTTGTCTAACAATTTTTAATGTAACTATTTCCAATAAACTAACAACTACCAATTAACCACTTTTATAGCAATGAACTAATACTAAAAGTCTAAAATGATAAGTGAAACAATTAACAACTTTTATATTAACGAAGAATGTATTAGTGTGTAAACAAAATTAATGGGAATGTTTGATAGGAGAATAATAAATGTAACAATTAACTAGTATTAGAGGAGATTAAGAAATGTAACAATTAACTAGTTTAACAAGTAAACAATTAATTTCGAATTCTTGTCTAACAATTTTTAATGTAACTATTTCCAATAAACTAACAACTACCAATTAACCACTTTTATAGCAATGAACTAATACTAAAAGTCTAAAATGATAAGTGAAACAATTAACAACTTTTATATTAATGAAGAATGTATTAGTGTGTAAACAAAATTAATAAGTAGATAATATTATGTTGATAGTATATATAATATAAGATGACTAACAAGATGACTAACACACTTATATATGTAGTAAATATATATTTATAAGTAGATAATAAGTATAAATATATATAACTAATATAATAGTATATAAGTATATTACTATTATAACTAATATAATAGTATATAAGTATATAAATATATAACTAATATAACAAGATAATAGTATATATTATGTTAATATTACTACAAGATGACTAACACACTTATATATTATACTTTAATATATAAGTATATTACTATAAGTTGAGTAATACACTTATATATTATACTTTAATATATGTATAACTAATATAAGTATATATTAAGTATATGTAATATGTGAATATTACTAAATAAATATACTTATATAAGTAACAATAATATAATAATTAGATATTAATATAAGTAGATAATAAATTATATAAATATAATATATGTAGTAATAAATTTGAGAAATTGAGAAGATGAAGATGGGAAAGATTAATAGAGAATAGAGATTAGAGATTTAGAGAGTAGAGATATTTGGAGAAGATGTGTAGTAAAGTGTATAGAAAAAATGGAGTATTTATAGATATTTAGTACCCCACCCCCACCCCCCACCCCCCCCCACCCCCCACCCCCCCAACCCGGGACCCCCTGGAAGGCTCCCAACGGCTATAGAGCCGTTTGGGTTGAAAGCCAACGGCCATAAGGCCTGTTTGGCTGAAAAACAATTTTTTTTTTTTTTTTTTAAATAAGTAACCGTTAGGCCCGACCCGGGCCCGAACCGGCCGGGCCGGGCCACCATACAATTGAACCGGACCCGAACCGCCAAACCCCCCCGGGCCGGGTCAAAGCCCGAACCGGTTCACCAGTCCCGGTTCCGGGCCGGGCCTGCACAGTGGCGGGCCGGGCCGGTTCCGGGCCGGGCCGGCCCGGTTGAGTCCATCCCTATAGGCAACTAGGCAAGCTTCCATGTTATGTTTTTCTCCTTATCTAATTTGTCTTAGTAATGTTATATGTGTGTCGTGATTATTATTTATGGTTTGATTTGAATTTATCTGATGCGTCGAAATTTAGATGTAATGAACCTTTAAAAATATTCAAAACCTACTTGAATGCAAAAATTAAGTTTTACTTGAGTCATTGAGTGATGGTACAATCATATGAAGTATTTGATACCTTTTTAAGATCTTTCTTACTAATTAAATAAGAGAACCTTCACATGCCACATTCCACTTCTTCAAATTCTTGCATACTCACCTACTCGGTACTACTAATTAACTAGTTCTGTTCTGTTCCATAAATTTCACATTGCATAACTACACATGACCCATTGACTACTATTTAACTAGTTCTTTATTTAAAAATATTACAATTTCATAGTTTAATAGAAGTTACAATAGTTACTCATTTGGACTTGAAAGGTTTGTATGTCTTGACATCAGATGCAAGGCCTTGAATTGATCCAGCGGCAGCAACAAGCGATACAATCAAACAAGTCCAGCTCAAGATTTTCAACCATACCCATCGAAATGAATACTTGGGGATCTTTGCCTGGGCGATGTGCATCTCAATGGGGAAGTAGACGGTGAGAGGATAGAACGAGGCTGCCCCGAGCAACCCCAAGAAGTCATTGAAGAAAGGGAATATCATCGCTACCACGGCCGTGACTATAACATAGCACGTCCTCCAGACAAGTCTAAAGAAGTTGATGGAGTAAGTGCCAAAGTAAGGAACCTTCATGGAATGCTCGGTCGTTATGAATTTGTTGTCCTGCCATCGACGGTTGCAACTCGACTCCACAACGCTGAATACTGGTTGACAGAAAACCTGAAAAATGAAAAACTAAATAAAGGGTGATTTTTTCTCAAATTATCCTCAACAATACGAATAAATGAGAGTGAAGTGATTTTGTTGAAATATTTGTCACATACCGGATTAGTATAAAATCATAAATCACTATATAAAATTGTGAACTCCATTTCTATTGGGTTGACATTTTTAGGACGATTGTCCCCCAAATCTTAACAGTTTTTATGAAAACTTTAGAAAAACAGTATCACTCTAATCATTTCATTCATAACCATGCTGAAAGAAATGTCACGTGCCTGATAAGCTCCAATAAGATGAATGGCGATGCAAATGTTGGCGAAGTCGATTAGCCAAAAGGGTTCGTAGAAGCCGAAACCAGTGAGGAAGTTCCCAGGAGCATCGTTCCCAAATGCCGCATATCCAACGCAGCCGCATAGAACGTAGAATAAGGTTGTTGTGGAAACACCAATTCGAGAGGCTTTCTTCATTACCTTGTTTTCTGGTGGGTGTGCTCTCAATGTGTCCTGCAACCATGCAGCGTAGTCATTTCTTTTAATTACTATGACTAATGAAGTTACTTATTAAGCACATACACAGTGCCCCTATTACACTTGTTCAATTTCCTAAAACTTTCTGAAATTTTATTGTGAAACTATGACTCATATTCAGGAGAAAATATAGGATACCCAAGTTTTTAATCGTATCTAATGCTTTTTCACAATGTGAATTCAATACGAAACTATGACTCCCATTCAGGAGGAAAATATAGGATACCTAAACCCAAGTTTTACTCGTATCTAATGCTTTTTCTTTAATATAGGAGATGTTTAAACTGATTCTGCTTTTGCTTGTGCTTCTTTCTTAAAATAGAAGCAGAATTAGAATCAGTTTTCAAAATCTGGTTGAAAACATATTATGATAATGGCCTCCAACTTCTAACAATGGCCTACAACTTCTAAAACATATGTTTGTAGGAGTAAATTAGAGCACCAGAAGTACTTCTGCACTGTCACCCAAACACTCAAACTTCTGATTCTGCTCCCTGAAGGAGCAGAAGCTGTTTTAAGAATCAGATCAAAACACCACCTCCATATATGGGTATAATTTCAAAAGATAAGACAAAAAGTAGGTATAAAGACTAAGTCCATTATAATTATTCATCGTTAAATACATTTGGACCATTTGGTTTGTCTAATTATATTTTTAGTAATGAAAAAAATCCATGTATATATGTATGAGTATTGATTGCTTGCTTGCCTGTATCTCGATGAGGACGGTTGAGTAAGCATAAGCAAAGGCAATGTCACCAATGGCTTGGAAGGTTCTCCATACTTTCTCACTTCCTGACACATCTACTCCGATAGTCACTCCCGTTAGGGTTGTCTTTACTTTCTGCCCGTTACCTTCAGTTCAAATCGTTCAATATTTTGTCAATGTGCATGTAAAAATAGCAAAAAAGGGGAAAGTTTAGAATCTTCTATGCAATATTTATTTATTTATTTATTTATTTATTTATTTATTTATTTATTTATTTTTTATTTTTTTGCTAGACTTTCTAGTCTGTCAAGATCCGGGGTTGTATCATAAAAGGTTAATTTGTTTTTTAATTTGAAAATTTTGAAGGCGACAATCTTATTGCAGTATTATTGTGTCTTTAGTAGTACTTTTCTATATTTTAGTTCGAGTAGGTATTTTGGAGTCTTTGGTTGGACAGTTGGATATTTTTGTGTGTGACATCTAGATGAATTAGTTGGCAGTAATTCCAATTTGATAGTTATAGACTTATGAAACATGTGTGCCACGTCAGCAGGTGACTTGCTGATGTGATGGATAACCTGCTAATTTATGGAGTCAGTTCATTCCGAAGTTCAAGGATGACTATTTTTTTTAAAGTTCGAGAACTTTGTTTTGAGAAGGATAGTTTTCGTGTGATAACAATACCATATTCATACACTCCTTCCATTTCCTAAAAAAATACACTCTGTCCGTCGAGTTTTATTACACAAATATATTAGGGAAAAACACAAAACTCAATGTCTGAATGGAGAATATTATGGAAGTGGAAGTATAGAAATAATGATTTTTTTAAGGTAAATAATGAAATATAAATACCTGCAATTTTGGCAATGGAGAGGGCAAGGCCAATAGATGAGTAAGCAAAAGACATGGCAGCTGCTAAAATAGAAAGCCATGAGAGCTCATGGAAATTGGGTATCTGGCTCAGAACAATCTCGATTGCTGCAAATATTATCATATATGGGTAGTTCGATACCCCGCATGCAGCTCCATGCCCGTTTTTGTGATAGCAATTTGACTTCTTCACAGCCCTACCTTATTTTTAATAATAATAATAATAATGAATTTATATTACAAATCACAATGTCAACATTTATCAAATATTAATTCCAGGTTTTTTCTACTATATACTAAATATAATTAGAAGAATGGACAATTTTCTTTTAGCTAATACTTTTATATATATAAGGAGTATCATTTATTATGAGTTTTTTTTTTAAATGTCACTAAAATGTAATTCTTGGAGTAAGATATTATTAAACCTAACTTACTATGAGAATATTATTACGGTTACTATAATGTAAAATTGAGTATGATCATGACCACTAAATTACTCTCTACTATAGTTATGTATTCGAGAATAAAAATTCTTTTGCTTCTTCACTACCTTTATTTTAGTCATATATTAGTGAGAAAAATAATTCAAATACCCCCAATTTTGAAGGAGTGTGAAGTGAACACCTCAAACTTGCGCATGTAATAAAAATATCTCAAACTTTGTAAAAGTTATGTTAGCATCATGATTATGATTTTTCTTTCACAAATGTAAATTTGTGATAATTTAAATACATTGAATGCGATTAACACTCAAGCTCTTAGCTTCTATTTATTACTTTGTTAGTCTATATATGTATGTTTATTGTATCCTCACAAATGTAAATATTTTAAATTGTATACTTAAAATCATAAATTGCATTTGTCAAAGAAAAATCATACGAACGTGAGTCATGCTAACATAACTTTTTATATAAAGTTTGAAATATTTATATTACATGTGCAAGTTCAAAGTGGTCACCTCACACTTCAAAATATGGGTTATTTGAATTATTTTTTCCTATATTAGTCGTATACCACATATTAGTCATTATGGGAATTTTTATATTTGTACTTTAATATGATCTAGATTTTTATAAAAGAAATCATACAAAATTAAGTAAACAATTTCAAAATATGTGATTCCTATTTTACCCCACTTATGAGATTCACGCCTCCTATACGCTGCTATACACAATAACTACTTAGTATTAATTATATTTATGTAAACAAGTTTTATATTTCGATAAAATGTTTGAAAATAGTGTTTAGCATTGTTTCATTTCATCTCTATATTATTTGGTCACTTTGACCGCAATTTTACTTTAAACCGTGAAACCGTCTAGCTCGAACTCAACCTTGAAACGAAGTGGAAATAAAATTCTACATTTGACTGTCAGTCGGTCAGTCCTGAGACCAGGTCAATAAATCATCACATTATGACATATATATCCTATGAATAAAAATCAGTGGAAATCAAGATAATAAACAATTCTTAAATTGGTATTTTATTAATTATTAGTGTCCTGAGTTGATTGATACCCAAACTTCTTCAAAGTATGTATTGAATTGGTTTAAAAATTCCTGGTAAATAAAATGACTTTTTTCACCGGTAAAACGAATAAGCTAAAATAAAATTGCGCAGTTCATTTATTTCGTATGTTGGAGGTATTGGTCCTACCAAGGCCTCCCTTCCACTTTATTAGTTGAGGCTTGCACACTCTATTTTACTCTCTCTTGGATACCTATTCCTTGGTATATATCCTGATCAAATATATACCTATTTGAGTGGTTTGACTTTCCCACTTGGCTGGCCCCTTCTCTGCTTCCTGTCCGCTGCACTCCTTGTCTATGCATCATGTGAGGCTTTTTTGTATTGCTTCACCCGTGACCCATTTGTCTTGGTCTTACATGTGACTTCCTTTGTGTCAGCCAACCTGCTATTTAGAAGCCTTGCTTCTTCCCCTGTTGAGTAGCCTGCGAGAACCATTTTCAGAGAGCAGAGCTCCCTTTCTTCCTCCTTTGTGTGAGCATAAGTTAGGTCCTTAGTGGAGAGTAATATTTGGGTGTGCTATAGCTTCCTCCTAGTGTGGTGTGTGAGAGTGTGTGTTGAAAGACCTGAGCCGGAGACGGATATACGATCCTTACAGTGGTATCAGAGACTGGAACCGCCGTCTGCCGCCGTCCGCCGCCGCCGTCCGCCGCCGCCATCGATTGGAGCTCGCTGGTGTTCCCTGAGGCCTGGTCGTTCGTCTTCCTCGGCCTATCTTCGATTCTGGCGGTCACAGACCAGAATCCCCGCTGAATCGCCGCCTGGAGATCGAATCCGACGCGGTGGTGCTAGAATCGTCCGAAGCAGTATCCGCCATCGCCGACTGGATATCAACCCGCTGGAGCCGCACTCGCCGGAAACGTCCCGCCATCCTCCTGGAAGCTGTTCGCCGTTGCTCACTTGCCGCTGACTGGCGTTGATCGTCGCTGGTCTCTTCCCTCGCGCTGAAGCTGAAGACGAAGACGAAGCAGAGGCGTACTGTTCATGCGCGTTGGGCAAGGACGAATAGTTCTTCCTCGTTATTTTATTCGCTGCTGGACTGCTGTTTTTTTATTTGGGCTTCTGGCTTTCTGGGCTGGAGTTCTACTGAAGTGCTGCCGGGCTGAAGCTGCTGGACCTAGAGCTGGGAGCTGGATTGCTGACTTGGACTGGAGACATGGACTGCTAAGGAGCTGGACCACCAGTCAACCGCCGCCGGTCAACGCCGGTCAACGGTGGTCAACGCCGGTCAACGGCAGTCAACCCTCCCGAAAAATCCCATTGTTTTAAAAATTGGGTAGGTAAGGTCGAAACGCTCTCCTAGGGTTTCGCGAAGGTAAGTTTTCTGTAAACTTCCCATTTGTTACATTCCGGTTTTAATTTAATTTAATTTTATTCCCCCTCCCCGCGGGCCGCCGGTTGATTTAATCCCGGCCGCCAACCCCCCAGGTACGTACTAAACTTTCTCCTTTGTGGTAGACTGTTTTAGTTAATTAATTAAATTGTTATGCATAGGGGTGGTTTATTGGGTGGTAGGGGTAGAATTAATTAAATTTAATTTTTTTCTGCCTGGAATTGTTTAAATTGCCAAAATGTCCATTTTTTGCTATGTGTTGCATGCTGCCCGGGGTTATTAAAGTGAATACTTTATAACCCGGGTTGGATTATTTTCTGTCATTTCTATCTGTTTAGCTTTGTGTTCCTTTGTGGTTGATACCATGGCTGCAAATCAGTATGGTATGCTTCCATTTAATGGAAAAACAGATTTTGATATTTGGAAACAGAAAATTAAGTGTGTTTTAATACAGCAAAAAGTTTTCAGAGCTGTCACTGGTATTTTCCTAGAATCAGAAGATAAGGCTAAGCAAATTGAAATGAACGAAACTGCTTGTTCTACTATTTACTTGAATCTGTCTGATTCTGTGCTTAGGAAAGTAGGTATTCTTGAGTCTGCTAAGGAGTTGTGGGAGAAATTGGATAGTCTCTATACTGATACCTCTTTGCCCGGGAAGTTGTTCTTACTAGAGAAATTCTTTAGATTTAGGCTTGACCTGACTAAGGATATAGATGAGAACCTGGATGTGTTTAATAAACTGATACAGAATATCAAACAGGCAGGTGATAAACACATAGATGATTACACTCCCATAGTATTACTTAATGACATTCCCGACTCTTATAATGATGTTAAGTCCGCTATTAAGTACGGTAGGGATGAGATTTCGTTAGACATTGTTGTGAATGGGTTAAGGAGTAAGGAATTAGACCTGAAGCATGCTAGGGGTAGTGCTAGTCAGTCCAGGGACTCCGGTGAGGCTATGTTTGTTAGGGGTAGATCTAAGGGTAGGTCTAAGAACTCTAAGCAAAATAGTCAGGGTAAGAACGCTAGTCAGCCTGGGAGGAAGAGGAGTAAATCTAGGAAGAGAGTGTGTTACAATTGTGGTAACACTGGCCATTTCATTAAGGATTGCCCCCACCCTAAGAAGACCGAGCATGCTAGTGTAGCTGTTGATAAATGTGACCTTGGTGATATTTTGATGGTTTGTGACCATGTTAATTCTGTGAGAAATTCCCTGTCTGAGCATGAATGGTTGATTGACTCTGGTTGTACCTATCACATGTCCCCCTTTAGAGATTTGTTTTCTACTTATGAATTATGTGATAGTGGCTACGTTTCCTTAGCTGATAATAAGAGATGCAATGTGCTTGGTGTTGGTGATATATGTCTGAAGTTTTCTTGTGGCTCTGTGTTTACCATTAAGAATGTGAGGCATGTCCCTGATTTGTGTCATAACTTGTTATCTGTTGCTGCTTTGGAGAGTAGTGGGTTACAGGGAAAATGGGGGAATGGTTGTATGAAAATCCTGAAAAACTCGCTTGTTTTGTTTAAAGCTGAGAAGGTGAATAACCTTTATGTGTGCCATGCTAAACCTTTTGCTGAGTCTGTGAATGTTGTATGTTCTGATAAGACCTCTTTGTGGCATAATAGGCTAGGACATATGAGCAATAAGGGTTTAGATGTCATGCGTAGGGCTGGTTATTTTGGTAAGGACTCTGTGACTTCTGTGCCTTTCTGTGAATCATGTGTGTTAGGCAAGCAGCATAGAGTCAGCTTCCCTCCTTCCTCTTACCCTAATCTGTCTAAGTGTTCGTCTGTGCTTGAATATGTTCATGCCGATGTTTGGGGTCCTGCCAGTGTTCCTACCCACGGGGGTAGGAAATATTTCCTTTCTATCATTGATGATTTCTCTAGGAAGGTGTGGGTTTGCCTTTTAAAACACAAGTCTGATGTGTTTGTGAGGTTTAGGGAGTGGAAAACCCTAGTTGAAAACCAGACTGGCAGGAAGGTTAAGACCCTTAGGACCGATAATGGGTTAGAGTTCTGTAATAAGGAGATGGATAAGTTGTGTGTGGATTGTGGGATAAAAAGGCACAAAACTGTGCCTTATACTCCCCAACAGAATGGGATAGCAGAGAGAATGAATAGGTCTCTATTGGATAAGGTTAGAAGCATGTTAGCTACCTCTGGTTTGTCTAAGAAATTCTGGGGTGAAGCAGTCACTACTGCTGCCTATTTGGTTAATAGGTCCCCGTCTGTCCCTCTTGGTGGTAAGTGTCCTGAAACCGTTTTTACCGGTAAGCCTCTTGATCTGTCTAACCTTCGGGTGTTTGGTTGTGCAGCGTATGCACACCAACAGGGTGACAAGTTGGATCCTAGGTCTAAGAAGTGTGTCTTCCTAGGTTATCCAGAGGGGGTAAAGGGTTACAGGTTATGGGATAGGAACCAGGTAGGCTTTAAAGTGGTCCTTAGCAGAAATGTGGTGTTTAATGAAACTGACTTTCCTTGCTTGACCAAGTCTGTTTCTGATCCTGAGTCTAGGTCTGATAGTACTCCTAGTGAGGTGGAGTCTGTCCCTGTTGCTGCTAGTCCTTTATCTGTTGATCCTGTTATTTCTGATGATATTGTTATGCATGATTCTGATTCCTCTGAGCATGTTAGTCCCACCACCTCGAGTGAGGTGGAGCATTTGCATGATACTGAGCATGATTTGCATGATATGGGTGCTGAATCTGAGTTTCATGATAACAATAATTTGCATGAGTTGCATGTGGAGCCTAGTAGTGATAATTTGCATGATTATCAACTTGCTAGAGATAGGAGTAGAAGGGCTATCAGGAGAACTGCTGATAGTATGCCTGATTATGCTTTCATTGTGCATGATACTTCTATGTTTGCATTTTCTGTGTTTGAATCCCTAGAGCTGAATGAACCCAAGACCTACCGTGAAGCCTTAGGTTCCAAAGAGTCTCAGAAATGGATTAGTGCCATGAAAAGTGAGATGGACTCTTTGAGAGTGAACCAGACTTGGACCCTTGTACCTAGACCCCCCAACTGTTCGGTAGTTGAGTGTAAGTGGTTGTTTAAGGTTAAGGAAGAACCTAGTGATGTTAGGTTTAAGGCTAGGTTGGTTGCGAAGGGGTTTACTCAAAAAGAGGGGGTAGATTATGCAGAAATCTTTGCTCCTGTTGTTAAATTCACCACTATTCGTATGATGCTTGCTTTAGTTGCTCACCATGACTGGGAAATGAAACAGATGGATGTAACTACTGCTTTTTTGCATGGTGAATTGGATAAAACAATTTATATGACCCAGCCTGAGGGCTTTGTGGATCCCAAGAGAAGTGAGCATGTTTGTTTGCTTAGGAAGGCTTTGTATGGCCTGAAGCAATCCCCTAGGCAGTGGAACATCAAATTTGATAAATGCATGATATCTTTGAAGTTCCAAAAATCTGTTTGTGATCATTGCCTGTATTTCAAAAATACTTCTTCTGTGCCTGTATTTTTGTTACTCTATGTGGATGACATGCTGATAATTAGTCCTTCTCTGAATGCTATTAAAGATGTGCAGAAATGTCTTTGTGCGAATTTTGCCATGAAAGACCTAGGTGATGCCAAGAGGATCCTAGGCATAAACATTGTTAGGGATAGGAGTAAGCGTACTCTTACTTTGAATCAGATTTCTTACATAGAAAAAGTTTTGAGTAAATTTAATATGTTATCTGCTTCTCCTGTTAATGTCCCTATGGCATCTCACTTTGTGTTAAGTAAGGACCAGTCTCCCAAGACTGCTCCTGAAATTGAGAAAATGAAATCTGTGCCTTATTCCATCGCAATAGGGTCGGTGATGTATCTTATGGTTAGCACTAGACCTGATATTGCATATGCGGTTAGTTGCTTGAGTAGATATATGTCCAACCCTGGTTTGCCTCATTGGAATGCTCTTAAGTGGTTGCTTAGATATCTGATTTCTACTGTGAAGCATGGATTAATTTTCTCTAAATGTGCTAGTGGTATTGAATTGATTGGTTATGTTGATTCTAACTATGCAAATGATAGAGATAACAGGAAGTCGACCACTTCTTATGTTTTTACTTTGTGTGGCTCTTGCATTAGTTGGAAGTCTCAACTACAGCCTATTGTGGCCCTTTCTACCACTGAGTCCGAGTATGTTGCAGCCACAGAAGCGTTTAAGGAAGCCATCTGGCTCAAACGCCTTGTCTCCGAAATTGGGTTTCTCAAAAAGGGAGTTACCATTTTCTCGGATAGCCAATCGGCCATCCAACTTTGCAAAAATCCTGTATTTCATGATAGAACTAAGCATATTGATGTTAGGTTCCATTTCATACGTGATATTGTTGATGCAGGTGGAGTCAAGCTGTGCAAGATCCCGTCCGAGTTTAACCCCGCGGATATGGGTACCAAGTGTCTTTCTGCTGAGAAACACTTGTCCTGTAAACGCGTGTTAAACTTTGACTGTGGATAATTGTGGGTTGCCTAATAAAGTGTTTGCCCGTTGTGTCTGTTGATATTCCGGGTGACCCGGCGATGATGAGTCTTGTCACAACTTTGTTTTGTTACTCTATACCACCTAGGACCAATAAGGTGGAGAATGTTGGAGGTATTGGTCCTACCAAGGCCTCCCTTCCACTTTATTAGTTGAGGCTTGCACACTCTATTTTACTCTCTCTTGGATACCTATTCCTTGGTATATATCCTGATCAAATATATACCTATTTGAGTGGTTTGACTTTCCCACTTGGCTGGCCCCTTCTCTGCTTCCTGTCCGCTGCACTCCTTGTCTATGCATCATGTGAGGCTTTTTTGTATTGCTTCACCCGTGACCCATTTGTCTTGGTCTTACATGTGACTTCCTTTGTGTCAGCCAACCTGCTATTTAGAAGCCTTGCTTCTTCCCCTGTTGAGTAGCCTGCGAGAACCATTTTCAGAGAGCAGAGCTCCCTTTCTTCCTCCTTTGTGTGAGCATAAGTTAGGTCCTTAGTGGAGAGTAATATTTGGGTGTGCTATAGCTTCCTCCTAGTGTGGTGTGTGAGAGTGTGTGTTGAAAGACCTGAGCCGGAGACGGATATACGATCCTTACATCGTATGTATAGTCGCCCCACAAAAATGTAAAAAATCTGGTTGACTGGAAAGTGTGAAAAAAGTGTGAAAAGATTCAACTTTTGGAACCCTAAAAAGTCAATGTCAAAACGTAACGCTTCAAAAGCATGATTTATTACCTGAATAAATGTATAGAATCAGAATCCACTAATAATAGTCAAACAGAACCTTGCCTAACTAAATTTTTATGCATGCAATCTCAAAGTATTAAATTCTAAGGGTCCCTTAATAAACGTTTCAAACGAGTCAATGTAACATTTATACGTCAAATTGTATTTCCTAGTGGAACCCCACAACATAAAAATGCACTCTTGGAGTTATAAACGACTTAAGCACTCAACATTTTTTTCGCTTTCATGTTTATCGATTAAGCTAAATAGATTATATATGTCACTAATTTTAGCTTGAATACCTATTTATAAATGTTTGTTTACCATATTTATAAATGTTTATACAACCAAATATTCATATTCATTTACCAGTGTGGGAAAATGTAAAAAGAAATTGAATATATCAAAATTCAATTTGGGTATGCAAGAAAATTTATAATAGAAAAAAAAAGAAGAAACTTACACCATGCTTATAGAGGCAGTGATAGTGTACCCAATAGTAACTCCTATGAGATTTGTATACTGCGCCAGCCCACAGAGTGTCACCTTTGCTCCTCCTTCAACAACAGTTCAAATTAAATTGCAAAATTAACCCTATTAACATCTCTGACCTCTGAAATGTAGTTGGGAATCTAACAAATTAATTCAATCTTTTTTCTACAGCAATGAATTCCATCTGGGGATTGGGGTTTCAATAAAAAGAATCTGTAACACTTTGACTCAAATGACTACTACTACTACTTGTTCCATGCATATCGTTTACTACTCCCTAGCTACTCTACCCACACCCAAAACAAATTAGAATAAGATCATAAAGTAATTTTCACTTTCGGTTGGTTGATATTAACTTAAATTAACATATCTTGTATTACTATTTCATAACTTTTCACATGAGCATATAGAGTAAGAAGCAATTAGAAAAAAATTTTAGAATGAAAGTAAATGTGTAAGTTTAAATAATAGCTGCATCGATTTGTTAGGTTACTTTTCTCAAAAGACAATGCCAACATGCAAAACTGAGTGCATGATTAAGGTATCAAAATCGAAAAAAAAAATGTACCAAGAATCTTAAGAAATCAATATATAATGATACAAATGATTCATGATAGTTTCACATTATCATATGAGAAATTGACTTAGTTAAGGAGAAGTGGGAATGGAATTAAGGTGATGATTGTATTTAGAGGAAGGATAAATTGTAAATTCCATTTCCCACTTTTGGAAAATGATCGAGCTAATAAACCTACAAGAGAAAAAGAAGTTAGTATTTCATGTCACATTCCTCTAATTCTCTTTAACGTCATACCATTCTTAATTTTGCGAGACACCACTAGAAAATTATTGACTACTAAATGAATGTGGACATTACAAACTCTAACATGTTTTTTTTTTCGGAAATAGGTAGTAGTTTATTTTATTCCCTATATGCTCTTATGCAATTATATCTTAGCTTAGTTAGGAAATTTAATTACCGTAACAATTATGTTATACGATAAATGTTATGTACTCCGTATTAAAGTTTTACTATATTTGTTGTCAAGCTTGTCAAAAAACCATATCCATTGATAATTGCAACTTAGAATGTTTTTACTAGGACTGCAATTTGTTGGTCTGGTCTGATCTGGTCTGAACTGGTCGTATTAAGTGTAAAACTTAATACAATTATGCTGACTAAAAAGTTGGTGATATAGTTACTTTGTACTTCCTCCGTGCCAATAAAATGTGATGACATGATTCCGGTTTATGAGGTTTGATCGATGATAAAGCAAACAAATCCCTATTCACACTCAAATTATTTTAAAATTTTCATATTCAGAAACTAATTTAAAAGTTTTATAAAGTCACAAAAATATCAAATTTGATAAAAGTAAGAGATTAAGAGTGATCTGATTCGCGTTGACCAAGTGAATAAGAAATGAAATATCAATTCGGGTCAATTTGGATCGAAGATAGTATAAAAAAGTACGTTCACATGTTACATCATCTTTATTTAGTCATGTAATTATTTCATTAATTTAGACTTCAACCAAACTTTGTAATGTACACAAAATTTATTAGACTTCAACTAGTAATAAGAGTATAAAATTGACTTATTCTTAATGTTTATTTAAAACTTCTCTTGATTTTCTTTAAAAGAGGTGGAGCGGGTAAAAAATGATTGGAGTACGTATATAGCACAGCAATGACAGCATAATAAAATATTGTTTCCTAAGGTGGCACCGATCAACACATATGGTTGACCATATATATTTTTTAAAACTTAAATTAAATACGGAGTATTATGGGATGTTCTAGTAACGGTAACGTTAGAGTACGTCATTAAGATATATGGATGGGAGTTGGAAGATAGAGATGAAAATCATTGTATATACCGAGGTGAGATCGGACGACGTCCATGTAAGTGTAATTCCTCTTGCCGGCGGCAGGGCCGGGAAAGCGGTAGCAGTCGGCGAGCAAGGTGGAGGTGAAGTAGGTGATGAAAGAAAACGCCGTGAGAACGGCCGGACCGGCGACCCAACCGAGCTGAGCTATAGCCCATGCCAACGATAGCACCCCCGACCCTATCACGGCCGTTATTATGTGTGCACTTCCCGTCACCAACGTCCCTTCACACCATAGTACATATGCATAATTAAACATTTGCATGATACATGTTTATGTATGTACCACAACAACAAAAACACGGGATTGACAGAGACTAGGAATCCTAAAAAAATACTTTTGCACGAGTTATATACATGAAATTATCGGTAAACCCGAGCCAAATCCTTGTCAATCCCGTAATTTTTTGTAGTGTATGTGATGTGTGTATGGTGATGGATTACCGATTCTCTTCTCTCGACCATCGTCATCTATGTCCTGAGGAATTTGCCCATTCTCTAGAGACTGCTCCATATACATGGGATTCTTGTCTCCCTGCATTCTTATGTTGGTTGTTTTACTTCTTTTATCGCTCTGTGTTTGGGCAGTCTGTTTCTCTATTACCCCTATTGGAAATGAATGAGGAGATTGTGATGGCTATATATATAGAAGGAAGAAATGATGATGAGTGTGTAAATAGTAATTACATTCGAGATGTGGGATAAAAGTTTGATTTTCTAACCGAAATTGCCCTAAATAGGAGTAAAAACGTTTTGAAATTCCAAAATATGAGTGCCATGTTTTTTATTCCTTGAATAGGAGTAATCTGCCAAGTTTGAAAAAAATGTCATGTTTAAAAGCCTTGTAATGCCAAACTTGCCAGAAATTTACTCATATTCAACTAATTCAAGGAATAAAAAACATGATACTCATATTTTGGAATTTCAAAACGTTTTTACTCCTATTTAGGGAATTCTCTCTTCTAATTGTAGTGACTTTTATTACGTCCAGATTTAGTCCATGTTGATCATGAGATTTTCTTATTGTAGTGACTTTTATATGTTCGGTTTTAGTAGGGGTGGGTTCGGTTCTTGCGGTTCGGTTTTGACCTAAAACCAAATATAGAATCAAAATAAAAAGTTCGGTTCGGTTTCGGTTCGGTTTTACACTCCAAAAACTTGGAACCACGGTTTGATTGGTTCGGTTTGTTTCGATTCGGTTTCGGTTTTTTCGATTTTTTACCAAAAAATTAACTTTTGATTTAAAATTGATATAATACTTTGAGGGATCAAACATATTACATAAAGAATGCAAGCACACTACAACAAACAAAATAAAAATGAAAATAAATAATTATGTCTTGATTTATATGAGTATGCGAGAGAGATAAAAGTATATATATTATTAATTTACATTGTTTGTGACTAGTTAAAAAAAGTTCATGAGTGTATATGTTCTATGTGATATAGTTGAGATAAATATTTATTGTTTCATCAATATGAATTATGTAAGTTAAATAAAAATAAAAGTTGAATAATACTAATAACTAGTAAAAACATATTATCATCATTCAGTATATATACATTATTACATGCAATGAGTGTGTAAATGAATTTATAAACTAAACTAAACATATCACAAATATTATTTCTCTAGCACAAGAAAACCAAAGACTATTAATGATATTAGGATTAGTTAGGATTAATGCTTAACAATTGAAAAATGAATTTTATATTTTAATTAGTTCGGTTTGTTCGGTTCGGTTCGGTTTTGAAGGGTAAAAACCAAAACCGAAGCAAACAACTACGGTTTGGTTTTTTATATTCGATTTCGGTTTGTTAGTGGTTCGATTTTATTTGGCTATGGTTCAGTATAATTTGATTCGGTTTTCGGTTTTCGTTTTTTTGGACTCAGCCCCAGGTTTTAGTCCATGTTGATCATTAGAGTAAATACTTTAGTCACATTTTTATTTCAATAATATTTTAAAAAAACTCAAGATAAATTTGTTCCAAATAGAGTAACACGACTAATTTAACATGCTTTAAGGATTTTGGATGTTTACAAAAAAGACACCCATTCAATCCTAGCAAGACAATGCACGGAAAAACATTAAACAATTTGCATTGAGGGTTCAATTTTTTTTTCCATTAAAATGTTGAATAGTAATATTATTTGATTTAACAATTGAAGATATGCAACACTTTCAATAAAAAAATTTGAAAACTATGAGAGAGATATATTATCTAAAAAAAACTACACTTTTTCGAAATTTCTACATCAATTATGTTGTATACATATATTTTTATATTTTATTTTCAAATTTGTGGCCTTGTGGATGTTCATATGAACCCTTTTGAACAAAGGGATTGACCTCTCCTCAAAGACGGATGATAAGTCCGTATTTAGACACGCATTTGATGCGTGTCCGGGTTGGATTTTGATGATTTTCCTAGCTTTAAGGCGTTGCAAGTCTCAATTTTGGCTCAAGTTGTGTTTAGCAGGCGTTGGATCGAGTTTCATTGCATTTGGAGTTGATTTGAAAAAGTTAGAGTCCGGCAATCGGCGCTTGAGAAGCAATCGGGCAGAGTTTGGAAGCATTCGAAGAAGATTTGAGAGATTTGGAGGCCACCGGGAGATTCACGATGATGTTTTGATGAAGAAAGAGCTATTGGATCGATCGAGTAAGTCAAACGGAGGCTTAAAACGGAAGAAATCGAAGAAAATGAAGAAGAAAGGTCACGCACGGCCGTGCGTACAGGGACGCACGGCGTGCGTGCGTGGCAGTAGCGGCCAAGAAAAGTAATGAGCAACGCACGGCCGTGCGTCCGGGTACGCACGCCGTGCGTCCAAGGCGTTGAAAGACGAAGGGCTACTGGCAGCAACGCACGGCCGTGCGTCCGGGTACGCACGTCGTGCGTTCAAAGCATTAAAATTTCGAGAAGCTACTGGCAGCAACGCACGGACGTGCGTACCCAGACGCACGGCCGTGCGTTGCCTATTTTCACGCGCAGGTCCGTCGGACGCACGGACGCAACGCACGCCGTGCGTAGGCTCCGTGCGTACCGCGGATCTGTCCTTTTTCGACCCAAACTCATTGTTTTCTATAAATAAAGCCTCCCTAACCCCGTTTTGAGGGGGGGAAACCTAGAGAGAAGCTTAGGGACGTGTTTTATAGTGTTTTTCCGCTATTTTGTTCAAGACCCTGAGATTCTTTGTAAGTTTCATCTTTTTAATTAATGACAATTATTTCTATTCATCCCAATTCTGTTGATTCTTCAATTATGAATTGTGAGTAGTTTTAATTAGGGATTTGGGATTGATGAAGGGGTTAATCATGATGTATGGCTAGATTCTTGTCGGTTTAATTGCATGAATGCCGTTTAATTTGTGTTTGAATAATTTAACTGATATCTTTTGTAACCTAGATGGCCACTAGAATTACAATTGCATGTAGAATAAATTAAGAGAGATCTAATTTGTTCTAGGACACATTCACACACACTTAATCGTTCGCTAAGAGATTAATAGCGATTAAGGGGCCGTAAGCTCGCTCGTCTTGGCAATAATTTAGGATCCTATCGCATGAGAGATCAGTCTGGTCCCCTAAATTATTGTACTCTACGCCGCGATAGCGGTAAGAACTTAGTAATGATTAGCTAGGCTCAATTAAATTAATTTCATGTAATTAGGCCTGATCTGCCAGAAATCTGGTTACCCCGGAATCGATCCCTGTTCCCTTCGTCATTAATTAGAAAGAACCCCCTAGGTTAATTGTTCACATTAGTTTAATTTAATTTTTATTCAATCAATCAATCTCGCACACTTGCATTTTATTTTATTTTATTTTTATTCGCTGAATTTAGTTAATCTTTAATTCCCTTTTGTCCGTCCCTGTGGAGACGATACTCGTACTTTCAACCACTTTACTACATCATTTTTAAGTGCGAGAAAACACACATCAGTTTTTGGCGCCGTTGCCGGGGACGGTGTCGGTTTTAAGGGTTAATTAATTTCAGCGAGATTTTTTTTAGTTAGTTTTCTTTTTGTTTTCCGTAGGATTTTTCTGTGCTAACCTTTCAGGTATTTTTCTAAGAGGCACGAGATGAACCTATTCAGCCAAATTCCTGGAGGAATTCCTTACCCTCAAACCTCCATGGAATATTCACCATATACGCCATACCCTACTTACGCTCCTCCTCCTCAATATTACTCACCTCATCAAAATTATTCTCCAACACCACAAAAGTTTCCATCTTCCTATTCTTACCCTTTTCCAAATACGCAATACTCCCAATGTCATTCTCCTAATCAGTATCCTTATCCACAATATCCTCGGACAAAACCAGGCTCCATTATGGAATTTCTCATTCAAACTAAAAGTCCCGAGGAATTGGTTGATTACTTTCCTAAAAATAGCATTTGTAACTTCTGTGGAGGTGGTCACCATTCATGTCTTTGCCCCATTCCTCCATACGACCATCCTTACTGGGCAACTGCATACCCCACTTCGTCCTCCCCACAACTCACAAAGACAAATGTTTCAATCACTCCTACGTCTTTGCCGAGCTATGCGCCACAGGATTCAGACGACGAATGGGAAGAGATAATTTCAGAGAAGCTGTCTGACCTGGAAGAAACACTCAAGAAATTATTACAGCAACAAATGCAAATTCAACAGCAACAAATGCAAATTCAACAGCAACAAATCCAAATTCAACAGCAAGCAGACTCAAGGATGCAAAACATGGAGAATCAATTGGGGCAGATTGCAAAGGCTTTATCTGAGGAGTCTGAGAGATCCCATCCTAGCGACACAGAAGCTCAACCTAAGGAGACCAATAGGGATGATCATGTGAGTGAGTCGGACTGCGAAGGTGGGAATATGATGGATGATACACTTCCTGATGTTTTTGAAGACCCTCCTATATTTGGAGATGAAGAAGAAGACTTTTCTATGATGCAGTTTGATTACGGTGTTGGTCCTACTCCTTGCTTGGAGACATGTTTTGAGCTTCCGGTGATGCCTAGAGTAATCAAAGTTTTCACTCATTTTCCCTATCCACTTGAAGAGGATGAGAGTTTCATACTTCACTTCTGCGCTAATAAGGGTTATGAAGACCATATGCTGCCTACGTGGACTGAAGAATTTAAAGATCCGCGACACCTAATGGCATTTGTTGAGAGGAAGCTGGAGACATTGATTATTAGTGCACCACTGCAGTCCTTGCTATTTGAGAGCGTATGAGGAAGTTGCGTCGGGCAAACGACGTTAAAATAGCGCTTCTTGGGAGGCAACCCAAGCTTATTTCTGCATTTTTTTGTTTGTTTGTTTGCTTTCAGAAAACCCCACCCCACCCCACCCCACCCCCCAAAAAAAAATTCCAAAAAAAGGGGAGTTTTCTGTGTTTGTTTTTGTGTTTGTGTGTTTTGTTTGTGCAGCTCAGGGTCTTGCTTTGGGGATGATGTGCCGAGGATCACTTGACTCAGTTTAGTTATGCACCGACCAGCGCCTTAGGGAAGTTTCTGCGACTCTTTTAATCGCCTTTTGTAATAATTGACTTGAGCTAAGTTGAGCACGCGTGACCCCTTTCTCTTTACCCCTTGTGCATAGTGCAT